GAATGATTTATGCGTTTTAGCCGTAGAGCGCGAGTTTAATATTAATTTCGAAACACTTATAAATGAATTTGCTGATTTGCATAAAAATAGTAGAATTCTGTTGAAGTAAAGTCTTATGATTTTTTAAAATAAACAAAAATTCCGCCCAAATAGAAGCACAATGTACAATATTATCCGACTTGAATGATTTGCTCGAGAACAACTACATATTTACAAACTATTTAAGCTATGTCTATCAGAGTATTTAATACGTTAAATTCTAAGTTTTCTGGACAAACGGATTGTTTCAAAAGAAATAGAATATACTTCATCAAAATCTTTTTTGCTGAAGAGTGGAACACCTCAACGTTCACCATTATCTCCACTTCTACATATATTATATACAAGCGATTCAATGAATGATATCGATCAAGATACTCAAAATGGATTATTTGCTGATGACACAACACTCTGAACCACATCGAATGTCATCACAAACTTAAATAGTCGTCTCCAATCTTCAAAAAACGAATTCTAAAAATGGTGAAATTCGTGGAAGTTAACAATCCAACCTGTCAAAACTGAGTTGATACATTTCAGTCAACATCCTCGGAAAAAATATAGGAAAAAATTAGAGTTTAAAGTCAAAAAAGTAATTATTCAACTAACATCTTCAACCTGGGAATGGTTTTTGATCACAAACTAGACCGGAGAAGTCAAGTAAATCATCTTGAAACTACTATGATATAGACGATGTCATAACTCTGGCTGATTTCCCCGAATCTTTCTAATGTTTTTCTTTTTCTAGTCCTCTTCCTCTCTTGCTATTGTTACTGTTGTTGTAACAAAATAATGTAACTATCTATTTTATATTTTGTTGCTTTCTCTCCTCTTTGTCTTGATCTGTTTTTTTTCTTATCTCTCTTTTTCTTTCTAATGTTACACTTTACATATATATATATATATTTTCTTTCTCTCTCTCTATCTCTTCTAACTTAATCGTACATTGTAAGGACCTTGAAGGTCGTCAGTCTTTATTCTGCCTAAATAAATAAAAAAAAATAAAAATCGTCTTGAAACTATACCCAGGTCAAACACCCCTGGTCGTAAACGATCGTAAACGGCATTTTACGGCAAAAACACAACAACAGTATACGGTATCCGTTTACGGTGATCGTATACAACGTTTTACAATAATATACGACCGCCGTAAACGACATCCGTAAACGATCACCGCATACGACCATCATAAAAAAACGGGCATCGCATACGACCATCGTAAAAAAAACGGGCATCGTATACGACCATCGTAAAAAAACGCGCATCGTATACGACGATCGAATACTATCGTAAGAACCAAAGACGCTACCGAATCCTTTCCCAAACCGAAATCAACAGCAAAATAGTTGAAATCACTCATGTTACTAAGACATCATTTAAAACTTCTTCAAAATCAACCAAAATCAACACTGAATTTCCACCACACAAATAAATCACTCATCCGCCCAACAAAATGTGAACAAAATCCTATCAGAACCTTAAGAAAACTTGGACAAATCCTATCAAACTTTTTAAAAAATATCAGGAAATGAAGGGAATGTTGTACAAAAAAAATTCGATTCCACTCAAAAAAATTCTTCAGAAATCCATCGAAATCCTAGAAAAATCTGAACAAAACCAAGATGAAATCTCGAGAAATCCTAGACAGATCTTAAGAAATCCACCTAAAATCTTGAGAAATCCAGGTGAAATCATGAGAAATCCAGCTGAAATCTTCAAGAAATCCTATGAAATTTTTTAAACATATCAGCAAATGAAGGGAATGTTTTAAAAAAAAATCGTCTCCACTCAAAAAAATTCTTGAAAAATCATCGAAATCCTAGACAAATCTTAAGAAATCCAGCTAAAATCTTGAGAAATCCAGGTGAAATCTTCAAGAAGTTCTATAAATTTTTTAAAACATATCAGAAGATAAGCGGAATGTTTTAAAAAAATATTCGTTTCCACTCAAAAAAATTCTTGAGAAATCCATCGAAATCCTACAAAATCATGAGAAATCCACATGAAATCTTCAAGAAATCCTATAAATTTTTTAAAACATATCAGAAGATAAGCGGAATGTTTTAAAAAAAGATTCGGTTCCACTCAAAAAAATTCTTGAGAAATCCATCGAAATCCTACAAAATCATGAGAAATCCACATGAAATCTTCAAGAAATCCTATAAATTTTTTAAAACATATCAGAAAATGAAGGAACTGTTTTAAAAAAAAAATCGTTTCCACTCAAAAAAATTCTTGAAAAATCATCGAAATCCTACAAAATTATGAGAAATCCAGCTGAAATCTCAGAGAAATCTTATGAAATTTTTTAAATAGTATCAGAACTTGAAGAGACTGTTTTAAAAAAAAATTTCGTTTCCACTCAAAAAAATTCTTGAAAAATCATTTGAAATCCTAGAAAAATCCTGAGAAATCCTAGAAAAATCCTGAGAAATCCTAGAAAAATCCTGAGAAATCCTAGAAAAATCCTGAGAAATCCTAGAAAAATCTTGAAGAAATCCTATGAAATTTTTTTAAAAATATTGGAAAATGAAGAGAATATCTTAAAAGAAGAAACTAGTTTCCACTCAAAAAAATTCTTGAAAAATCAGTCGAAATCCTAGAGTAATCTTATGAAATCGAATAAAATCTTTACAAAAAAAACAGCTAAGTAGTGGGAAAAGATTGTAAAATATCAATGGAAATTTTTGAGAAATCCTTGGAAATCGATGGGAAAATTTATGGAAATCGCGGAGCACTTAAAAGTAAGTTCCAATAAATAGATGAAATGTTCCAAAAATCTTTTAGAAATAATAAAAGTTTTATTTGAAATCTTTGAAATGGGATTTCTGTCCACTAATCATTCACCGTTTTGTTTTGCAACTATAGCTACATATATACCCTTATTTCATTCTTAGTTTTGTTATCATCTTAAATCAATTATCGTATCCCTGATCGCATATTTCGCTGGATGTTTAGTATGTGAGTAGACATATTATAAAATCTCGTGCATCATACCCCCCTCCTTCGAACAAATACTAAAGTCAAATTTCTCGGAATTTTTTTTAAAGATTTTTAACAGAAATTTAAAATCTTAAATCGAGAATTTCTGTCCACTAATCATTCACCGTTTTGTTTTGCTAGTTTATCTACATATATACCCTTATTTCTTTTTTATTTCTAGTATCATTTAGAGTGAATTATTGGTTTACCAGTTTTATATTTTACTTTGTCTTTAGTACGTGAGTATGCTTGTTATAAATTCTTGTGCATTAGACCCCCCTCCCCGAAATGAAAAGTTAAAAATCTGTAGAAATTTCAAAATTAAAGTAATTGATAAAAAGAAAGCCTCTGTTTAAAAGTATTAGAAATAACATGAATTTTAATCCGAAATGTCTCCATTAAATTCACATTCTAATGATTTCTAGTCTGTGCTCATTAAAGAATAGGTTTCTGAGAGAACCGAACAAAATTTAATGTGTTATGAAGTTACAGCTTTTCAAGCATCCAATTTAATTGTTTTCATTTTGTGAGTTTCTCTATATTATCTTTTTTATTTCAGATAGTTCGTCACGGAGCGGTCTAGTACCCAGATTTTTTTACGTGAGCATAACTTTTATTACATACATAAAGACACTCATAAGGGTCTATTGCAATTTTAGGATACCATTTTGAGTTATTGACCTCGTGACGTTATTTCTGCGCAACCAGGGAACTATTTTAAAGAAGATTTCTCACCAACTTCATAAGATTTTACATAAACTTCTCTCGACTCCCAACACATTACTGAAAAGTTTCACTTAGATGTCATAAACTTTCTTCACATTTATTATAGGATTCTCATAGACCTCTCAAAAAATTCAACAGGCGTTAAATAAACTACACTTGGATCTCATCATGATTCTTCTAGGTTTTACTTGGCTTCGACGTCATTCCTCAGAGATTTGCTAAAGATTTCTTAGGATTTCTGTGAGATTTCCGAAAGATTTGTTGTGATTTCTTGGAATTTCTTAAAGATTTCTCAGAGAGTTCTTGAAGATTTCCTAAGGCTTTCTCAAAGATTTCCTAAGGGTGTTTGTGATTTCCTAGGATTTTTTTGAGATTTCTCGGAGATTTCTCATAGATTTTAGGGATTTTTCGAAGATTTCTGGAGATTTCATTGGGGATTTCATCGTTGTGTACTCCGCCGTAAACGATGATCGTATACGATCGTTTACGACCACGACTATATACGACCGTAATACTGCGGATACCAAACGGTTCCGTAACTCGTCGTAAACGGTCGTAAATAAGTCGTTTACGGTCGTTTTCGTCATCGGGTACGGTCTTTTACTGTCGTTTACGATCGTCGTAAGTGTTGACCTGGGTAAAGTACCTGCAAGAATTAGGCTCTTTCGCTATCTATCAATACTATGCTCTCTCTATTCAAATCATTAATTAGATCGGTTATTTCGTATGGAGCTACAATTTTACTAACAGCTAAAAAAGGTATATAGAAACGTTTACAAACAATACAAAATAATATATTAAAAGCAACACTTGGTTATCCTTTATATACCTTAACCAAATATGTGCATAGTATTGGTAATATACAACAACATTACTTGAAAAGCCAACTTTTCTTTTAGGGCATAAGACTGCTATCAAGAACCATAATCTCATGTCCCTAATTCTTTTCTCTCCCCATTTATGTGATCTATTAATCGATAATTGTATTATTTAATAAAACCTTTAGATTTATTGTAAATTCTGCTTTTAACTACATTGTAAACCGTAATGTCGTCTTGAAAGTGTGGGGGCGTGGGAAAAGAGAAGATTCACACCCACATCCTCAAGATAGATAAGAGCGAAGTTGCCGAAAATATTTCTTCAAGCTAAAAATAATTCAATTCTGATTAATTATGAAACTGTTGTCAGTCGAATATTCGACAGAAAAACAATTTAATTTTTGATATTCTTGATTAACATATTTATTAAATATTTTACCACCACAAATGAACTCTTTTATTAATAAGTTTTATTGTGTAATTTGGAATAAGTTTTTCTGAATCAATTAAATTTTTCATTGGTTCTAAAAAATCTTTATGTTGTTTTGAAATACATAATGATGATAAATAACGAATATGATGTTGCAATTCCAATAGAATAAATATAACAATCGATTCTAAATCAGTTTTACATAAACTAATTGTTAAGGATTCCAATTGAGAGAAAAGATGAGTACATAATTTCATTTTATCTAATGTTATTTCTTTTCTGATTGTAACATTTTTAATTCTATTAGCATGCAATACAGATTGAAATTGTTGATTTTGTTCAAATGAAAGAGGATTTGTTCTATTATATAATAATGAATCAAATTTTAATGTCTGTGCATTTAATGTATAAGAAAGTAATTCAAGAATTTGTTCAAATAAAAAATGATGACAATGAAGAATTAATTTTGTTAATTGTTTCAATGGAATAATTCGATTAAAATTATTTTGAATGAAATTTCAAGACATTAAAAGTATCAGAAAGGGTTAATTTATTTACATTTGGAAAATAACCAAGAAAATTTTCTATCGAATTTATATTTGTAATTTCAAGATAATCAATGAAATTAACATTTGTTTCATTTGTTTGATCATATAAAATATAATGTTTTCGTTTAAAATAAAAATATGTATTTGAAAAAATAAAATGAAATCTATTGATATTTACTTCGATGAGTTAATTGAATAAAATATCGCACGATTACTATACTGTCGATAATATCGATGTTGAAAAAATCATTGTCGTTTCAACCAAAATAAACAATTAAATTAAAGTAAATTCGGCAAATAATTTGAAATTAATTGCTACCAAAAATGCGCATCTAAATATTCTTGATTTTCAACAAAACCATAATATAATGATGTAAGACATAAAACTTGTACTAATCGAAAAAAGTCTTTCACTAATAATTCAAAAACATTAAAATGGATAGAATACAATTTGAGAGATACATGAGTTAAATCATTTAAAATAATTGTTTGGTTATGTGTTCGAATTGTATTACGTCTATCAATATTCTTCAACGATAATTGTCGTATATTTGGAATATAAGATAATAAGCTATTAAGTTGATTTATTGAAACGTTGTTTTTGATAATTAAATATTCAATTGAACTTATTTGGTTTTGTTGCTAATGAAGTTAACATTGGTAATGATTTTAATGAATTTAAAATTATTTCAATTGCATTACATTGAATTTTATTAAGATATAATGATTCATGAAAGTATAAGTATTCAAATATTTCAAATAAAAGTTCATTTGATAAATTTTCAAATTTTGTTATTACTATAAAAATACAAATGGAATTACATAACTATAAAATAACAACCACATCTTACGTAATAATTTTTGTCTTTTATTATTATCTACTCTTCTTATTTGTTCCATAATCAAATTATTATTATTCAAAATGAAAAATGATTGTTTTTTGTTTATACGTCTTTTTTCCAACATAAATAAAGGAAGTAAAAAAAGGTATTTGACACGTGTGTACATATCGATGAGTCATATTTATGTTTTTACCTCTTCCTTCGTTTAAGCCCACACACTCAATTATCTTTCGTCGACGAAATGTCTTTCGACAAAAAACATAGGATTCCCTGTATATAGCTTCAATATCATCTTATAGATAAGTGTTTATTTTGTCACAGAATAAACAAATCGTCAGAATTTGTGTTCTTTTGCAAACAATAGAAACGCCTCATATGCGTTTTTAATGATTCATCGTACGTCAGAATGTATTCATCATGGAGAAAACCCATCTTTTATTTCAAACCTATAAAAGTATATTGTTGCAGGCATGCTTTCTATATTCAAACTTATTTCTCAAACAAAAAAAACTTGTCTTTAGTTAAATTCTTATCACATGGCATTTGCTGCTAAACAAATAACAACGAGAATTTTATTTCTTGGATCTAACCGTGTTGACACATCAAAATTAATCAGTATACTGTTCACCAAGAATGTTAACGTACTACCGCTACCACAACCAGCACAAATATCAGAAGAATCAACAGCATGTTTTACTACATATTATAATTGTCCCAATTATGCTTTTACTGATTCAACTGGTTTTGAAAACAATCGAGTCGACGAAGAAAATATTTTGTCAATGTTAAAAATTATTATGAAAAAATCAATGATTGGTTACAATAAAATATATTTATGCTTTAAATATGAAGATAATTCCAATGATATTCGTAATTATATTGAACCATTAATATCCACATTTGGAGAAAATATATTAAAATATTGTACAATTATATTTACACATTGTTATAATCAAACAATGGTCAAAGAAAAATATATAGAATTGAATGAACATGATGCATATATAGTAAAGATTATGAACGCAGTACAAAATGTAATCTTTGCTTAGACTATAACCGAAAATGAAATGGAAAATAACTTGATGAATAGAAGACAACATTTGCTGAACAATCTTAATCGAGATATAAAAAACTCGAATAAGAATTATTATTTACCAAAACCTGAAGGTTTTATCGAATGGTTATATGCAATTTACAACATGTTGAAATTGGGACATACGTCACCAGTGGAATTATGTCTTGAAGAAATTCAAAAACTGTCAACTACTGTGACAGATTTAATGATGAATCAAAGTTTTATTAATTATTATGGAGAATGTGCAATTTGTAGATGTGATATGTGGAATACAGATAGTATATTTACAAAGTGTCATCATATTTTTCATGAAGTATGTTTAAATCAATGGCTAAATGGTCCAGGTAACGACTGTCCTGTATGTCGTGCGGTTTTGATTCAGAAAAATGTTACAATACACAGAAATCAACCAATATCATTTACTACGTTTGCACATTCTTCTTTGTTTTGTGTTTTTCCTCTTCTTTTCACTTTGCCTCTCGTTCATGTGTTAAATATGAATGTATTTATTCCCCTTCTATCCTCTGTATTCAGTTATAGATTTTCTTCATCTCCTTTTATCTATCGTTGATATATTTCTAAAAAATAAGTCGAAAATAAATAGAAATCTTAATTATAACAAGTGTACGAACATTATCTCTGTACAATCATTAGCATTTTACGTTTGAATAACGTTATATTTTTCTTATAGATAGCACGATAAATATCACTTCGTTTCATAGAAGTAAAATCTTACTCATGTTTAATCTAAATGGTCTGCGATGGATGTGTTATTTGTCTTTAGTTGACTGAAACAAATATCATAAACACAGAATATGTGAGAGATGGTATTACACAAATAACGCTCATCCGAAGGATTCGCTGATCCTTTCCTAAAAGAACAACAGTTGATTGTGAGTTGGAAAAAAACTTACTATGATTTCACATAATATTTGGGTGTGGGTTTTTCTTCTTCTTCGACATTCACGCCCTCAGGATGGATGGCAAAAGGAATATACTATTTAAAGAACTTCCAGTTCTATCGATATCATACTCACATTTGTTATCAATTGGAAAAAATGATTTAGAAAGCATTTATCAATAATTAAAAATTATTTGGATGATCATGATTAAGAAAAAAATAGAAAGAAAAGCATATTCGTACCACGTGCAAATCGAAAATAACCTTTTTCACCCTAGCTTGTACCTATATTTACAAGAAAAAATAATAAAATATATTCTTCATCAATAGTCACCCCAATAATTTTTGCATAACCAATAAGGTTTTCCTTCTTCACTACCATATCCAACAATCTGTACCTATGAAAATTAATTCTATATTTAATAACTATAAAATCTAATAATATTTCTTAGTCCTTACGACATCATCTATGGTATCGTCCGAACATAACGGTTCATCATAAATACCTCTAGTATATGTATTAAAACCTTTTCCAGCCACAGTCATTTCTGCCCATAAAATCGATTCTTGAATCCGCTCTAACATTTGATTTTCATCAGGTGTTGCCATTCGTTTAATTGTATCAAACTATAATTTAAAAAAATAAATCGAAATCTTCTTAAAAAATATCAAATTCATATATAAATATATACTAGCAAATGGTTTACAAGTATCAGGTTGACATCGACCAGGTGCTGTTGGATAATCTTCTTTTCGACAAATACCACCTATATTCTTTATGGGCACGGCCAGCTAACGGTCCCCTTCGCTGGTGAAGGTTAAAAATCAGTAATATATAGAAAAAAATTTTCTTAACAGAAACTATGATCTTAAAATATTATTAAGTTTGTTCGACATTCTGAATTACTCAGCTGACATATAAAACAAATATCATTTTCCGTTCCTACGAGTTTAAAAACACGAATAATCACGAAATTTCACTTTTTTTTATTTTGAAAATTTTCATTTTTGTCAAAATAATGGATGAAGTTTTGCATGAAATTTTGAGACAAACATGAAAATGAACTAATCGATTTATAGAAAACAATACTCTTAATCGTTACAGAATGAAAAAAGTTAGATTTCATAGTTAAAACTATTATAAAAATGTCACTAAATTGTCCCTCACAGAACAAGAGAAAAACGGCGAAATTCCGTAACAGCTGAAATTCCGTAACGCTCAGTATTTCAAGTCGTCTTATTTAAAGGGGATGTCTCACAAAGAAAATGACGTGATATTCCGATAGCTCGTGAAAAACTGAACAACTTATGTATAGAACGTTTATTTATGAGCCGGTTAGTTTCGAAGAAAAAAGTCAAAATCTGAAACCACCCTCAAAATTTTGTCCATTTTTGAAATTCCGTAACGAACAATGTTTTGCATATAGCTCCGTTACGGCTTGTCATAAGTTAGTGAAATTGTTACTGCTAGTAGACCTAATTAACCTTCATATGTGGTAAAAATTTCACAAACATATCTCTTGTTATTGAGGAGATATAGGTCTCACAAGTTAAAAAAATGAAATTCCGTCACGCTTGGCCGTGCCCTTATACAAATAAAAACATCCATGGGTTGTGGACAACAATCGTATACTTGTGCTATACTACTTGCAATAAGTTTACCAGTTTCAATAGCATGAAGACTTTCAACAAGTTTTATACATAGAAAAAAATATGATTATGTCCGTATTTTTCTTTATTGATATTTACCGGTACCAACAACAGCAGTTACAATTCCTTCAACTTCATCATGATATACTTCTGTAATTACACCTTTATCACACTAATCAAGTGATTCAGGTAAATGTTTTACTTCTTTAGAACTTTTAAATGATGATGTATAAGATTTGAACATACTTCTTCGTGAAGATACAAGTTCCTATGTAGAAAAAGAATGAATTTCATTAAGATTTTCAATAAATATTTGTTTTCGTTCAATTTCTTCATCAACGTTTATTATATCTTTGCTTAAATTTATCCCATTCAATTGATAAATCAGCGACAGCTATACCAAATAGTACGAAGAAGAAAATAAAACGTGTATTTAACATTCTTTATAACTCAGTGTGGTAGATAAGAACATTGTCACTGTTAACATCATCATAACAAAAAAAAAGTTATCATTATCAAAAATGTAGAATTAATGTACTGATTATGCCCAGTATAAGACAAGAGTCCAATTACCATGATCAGAATATCAAGAGAATAGAATGTTTTTTTCATAAAATTAAATGAAAAGTGATACATAACGTTTTCATCCGTTCATTGTTGCATTTTGTTTTTTGTGTAGTGTCCGTGCATCAAGAAAACGAACGCGACTCATCATAAAATAGATTGGAATTTCCATACAAATAATCATTAATAGAAGAAGAGATATATCACGCCAACTTTTCCAATTGGGTTTCATTTTACTATGTTATTCTGCATAGTATTGTTCGAGTTCGGTCAGTTTGATCGTATTATTCGTTAAATAGAAGACCATTTTTCGATGATCATTGATGGTTGATTGTAGAGCATAGATATGATTCGTAGAACTGGCTTGATTATCATTATTGCGTTTTGTTCGATTTCCTATACATGGACCTTGAGCAAGTAAATGCTGTATTTCTTCGCACGTTATTGAACGTTGATATTGTACCACTTAGGTTGAATAATCCGACCCGGAAAAAGTCGGTTTCAAACAATTCTGGAAATTTCATGGGTAATAAACAATAAAATTAATAGAACAGTTAAAAATAATCACATATGAACCATGCTGATGATGATAAAAAAATGATCTGAAAAAAACCAAATACAATCAGAAATGAATATGTTTGTGAAGATAAACAAGAAATAGATGCTAGCTAATTAGCAAATTCCTCTTGTTCACTATCAATGGTAAAATATTTGATCATTTGTGTCAGATGAATGAGATGATGTAGTGTATTGATTTATTTTAATGACACCACTAGTACAGAAAAATAAGATCACGAACAAAATGAAAAGATCATACATATGTCACCTTATTTGGTTTTCTGTCGTTCAACTTCGATGACCACTCGAATATCATTGTCCTTATCTAATTGTTCACCTTGGTATGTCCATTTGTGTACTTTGTTGAGTAGTTTTGACTTTAACACTTGTTGTTCATGATGTGCGTTATCAATCAATTTGTAAAATGGTTCAAACAAGTTATTTTGCTATTGTATTTGTTTATTTTTTTAGATTTATAATTCACTACTTGGACGAGTTGATCAAGTAAACTAGTTTGAGCCATTCAATTATAATACTCTTCAAGTATGAAAATGTTATTTTTCTGAAATAAGTTTTGAATTTCATCATTTTTCATGTGGTCAAGTTCAACATCAATGGCAGTTGTTGTTTTAGGAGTTTGTTAAGAAGGATTGGTAGCCATAATTCGACGATGAAATATGCCTATGCAGAATGAATATCTATCGATCCTGAAGCAATCTCATTTTTCATAGATAGAAAGACGAAAATCCGAGAACTAACTTACTTGTGTGTATGTTTGAACGATAGATATACCACGAACGTTTTCGACTCAGTTTTCTATGAAAACATTCCAATTAAAAATGAAACTTATTTTGAATAAATGGTTGTTTTACTTTTTTGTATGAGATAATGCTGATCTGAATAACAAATAATATCTATATACAAGTTACTTACTTATACGCTGGTTGAAGTAAAATATAATTACAATATGAATGAATATATAACAATGCATATTTTTTTGCATATATCTATGTGCGTGGTCGTTCTTGCTTATAAGAGATAGATATGAAAAAATAAATCGATGTCCTTAATGCGTGTAAAAATGCTATTGCGTAAATAACTTCTTCATAGGAAAGAATAGAAAAAAAATATACAATGAAGATTATAAACGGAAGAAAAATAAAAGAAAAAATATAGATATGAATAGATTGCATTTATTGTGTTATTTTTTTTCTCCATTCGCACATCAATGAAATATAGAACAAATATGATATTGATCAAAATTAGTTTGGTTGGAGTTGCCACATAATTCTACCTAACAATGATATATATAATCAATTAATCAATCAATAGTAATAATAATCTAATTTTTGTATACGTCTTCAACAATGCTATCAAATAATTACTTGAAGAAAATTTAAATTGAGCTATCAAAATCCTAAGAAAATATGTAATGAAATAAGCATTGGACCAAGATATTCGATTATGCACTTTATGCATATTTCTCAAAATAGCTTGTAATTAATGATGGTATATTCGTGGAGATTATATCATATTTATGATGACGTTAAAGTATTTACAATAAAGAAGATTTTATTGTATTACATAGTAGGTCTATACGAATTGAAAACAAAGAAGTAAGAGATAATAAAAAATTAATATAATTTTTTTTGAATAATAACAAGTAACACTCATCCGATGGATTCGCTGACCCTTTTCTGAAAGAAAATTTCCTATGATTATCATTAAAAATGATTTTGATTTTGAATATATGTTAATAAAAGGAAACTGGACCGGTTCTACTCATCATGAACTCTTAATCGAACATGGTTCATTTTTAATTTGAGGAATAAACGATCAGTCACAGCCGTATATCTCATTTTTTTGAAAAACTGACCTAATTCAAAGAGTTTAAGGAGTTGTAATGCTACATATTCGAGAATTCCTACACTTTAAAAATAATCTGTGCAAAGTAACCTTAATATTCCCGAACAATCAGGAAAATTAGTGTTATAAAAAGAATTGATCCTCTTTTCAAAGTGCATTCAACAAGTTTAATAGTATAACCAAACTAGGATATGCTTGGGATCACCTCAAAACATCATCATTTGACAAAAAGATATTCATTTAGAATGATACCATCCCAGACAACTCTTAAAATTTTTAGGGTCGTACAACTGCATATGTGCCCTAGCTCACGCCACAACAAGCTAAAAAACGCCATACTTGCATTCACAAGTTCTTTATTGAATAGGTCTTGTTACATCAAATACGTAGTAAAGATTTATTATTAGCTCAAGAACCGAATCACTCAGCAATTTTTCATAAAACATCAAGTCTCACTTATTACACTTAGGATAAGCCTTTCAAATCAACGTCTAGTCGTTCGTCGGCTTCCCTCCGGTCGGCCACTCACGGCTAGCCGTTTCCGTATTTAACCCTGCTAATTTCTTCACTATTAGTCCAGCTTCGTAGTGTATAAGTGCAGGGTGTGGTGTTAAATGTCGAAAGGGAAAATGTCGAATAGGAAAATGTCTAAAAGAAAAGAAGGAAAATATCGAAATGGAAAAAGTATGTAGTATAAAGACCGAAAAGACTGACGTTGAATAGAATACATAGTCAGTACGAAAAAGTAGAACGGAAAATGTAGACAGACAAAATATCGAAAGTGAAGTTTTTAATTTTTATTTTAATATGATACGATAGGTATGGGTGAGTGTGGATGTACGTGCGGAGAGAGTCCAGGTGCTTGATAAAGGAAGAGATTCCCACACCCACACCCACACCCACCCACACCCACACCCTCACACACCCACACCCACACCCACACCCACACCCACACCCACACCCACAC